AGATAGACCACATCTACTGCTTTACCATCATCTATCCACCTGGTAATGTCCTCATAAAAGGCTATCAGGTTGGTCAAGCATGACTTCCCCTTGGTGAAGCCATGTTGACTGCCTCTAATGACTCTCTTATCCCTGATATGCCCTAGAGACAGCATCAAGAATAAGTTGTTCCATCACCTTTCCAGGGATGGAAGTGAGGCTGACCAGTCTATAGTTAGCTAGGTCCTCCTTCTTGCCCTTTTTGAAGCCTGGAGTGATATTTGCTTTCCTCCAGTCCTCAGGGACCTCCCCCGTTTCCCATGACTTACCAAAGATGATGGAGAGTGGTCTAGCAATGACTTCCGCCATCTCCTTCAGCACCCGCAGGTGCATCCCATCAGGACCCATGGATTTATGGATGTCCAGATTACTTAACTGGTCCTTAACCCAGTCTTCATTTACCAGAGCAAACTCCTCCTTTGTCCTGACTTACTCTGGGGCTTCAGGGGTATGGGGCTCCTCAGGACAGCCTCCGGCAGTATAGACAGAGACAAAGAAGGCACTCTGCGTTCTCTGTATCGTCTGTCACCAGAGCACCCACCTCATTGATCAGTGGGTTAATACCCCAGTTAAGTGAAGTGTTTAAAGAACTACCAAAATGGTTAGTGTGTTAAGGCTGGGAGCAAGCTAACTTTGGGATTAATCTAAATTGTTTCAGAAATGAGGGGGGAAGTAATTAATATGTTGAATTTTTTTATAGGGTGAATTTGAGGCAGAACTGGCATCTGCTGGTGACAAGCTTGTAGTAGTTGATTTCTCTGCCACATGGTGTGGACCATGCAAAATGATCAAGCCGTTTTTCCACGTAAGTAGCCTTTCTATTTTTATTGGCAACTGTATTGAAGTATATACAAATGTTTTTATGCTGCTTGACAATAACATGGAAGAAACTTCCTTTTGCCAGATGTAATTGCCAGCATTTTCTGGAAAAGGGAGAAGTCACAGAAGTATCTGCTTTGAGACTATAGAGTTGAATATACTGTCCTTTGTTATCTGGGAGCTGAAATGTAGTTTAACTTCTGCTGTCCTAAGCTTACATGCATCTCAGGCCTGTGGGGACCTAACACTTGCATTGCCTCAAGAGGTGGGCTGTAGAGCGGAAACAAAACTTAACCATCTCACATAGTTAATGTAATCACTCCAGCTGTGTTTAGCTGGCAATGTTATCTCGTGTTAAAAGTATGAGATAGGCTATAGCATCTTTTGATCACCTGAAGGATGTAAGAGAAGGTCTTTCACCTATCTCTTGCAGTATTCCTGTCTTCTCTGTGGGAAGTGTGTTTGAACAAGTTTCAGCACACTCTTGTGAGTATTGGAGCAGAAAATAAAATTTTTGCTCTGGTCATTAAAATAACTGCTTTAAGGTAACAAGGCAGGTCTCACTGAGGGAGTAAGCAGTGCCAGTCTTGCAGTTTATATGAATGTGTCTTTTAAAATAACGCTTTCTTGGAACACTAACTGCATAGTTTCTTGTTTCATTCTAGAACTTGTGCGACAAGTATGGGGATGTGGTGTTCATCGAAATTGATGTGGATGATGCCCAGGTATGGTCTGGGGTGATGCTGAGAGAAGGCAGCTAATGAGTTGCACATAAGTGACAATGAACTCTTTAAAATGTCCTTGCAGATACTGAAACAAAATGAGAGGTTACCTCAACTTTGAGAAGCAGAAATAGGGGTTTAGGCAATGATGTTTTTGACTAGACCAGGTTGCTCAAAGCCTCATACAGCCTGGCCTTGAATGCCTCTAGGGATGGGGCATCCACAACTTCCCTGGGCAACCTGTTCCAGTGCCTCACCACCCTCACAGTAAAAAAACTTCCTCCTAATATCTAGTCTAAATCTGCCCTCTTCCAGTTTAAATCTGTTACCCCACATCCTGTTGCTACATGCCCTTGTAAAAAGTCCCTCCCCAGCTTTCCTGTAGGCCCCCTTCAGTTACTGGAAGGCTGCTGTAAGGTCCCCCTTAAACTAGATTCGAAGGGGGAGGGGGCT